GGACAAGATCCACAGGCTGAGTAAAAAGGACTTCTACAGTTCAGCTGAAGGTCACATGAGGCCTGGGCAGTCTGAGTTCACAGGTCAAGTGGGGATCTACAAGGTCTGTTTTAGACCAAGTTCCCTCTTTGTGTTTGTTTCCCTCCACTGTAGCTCAACAAGGAAACTCAAAGAGCCAATTTCAGAAGAACTCAAACATGTTTTAGGTCCTAAATGTGTTGAGTTTGCTGTGTTAGTACAAGTTCACATCTGAAGGTGCAGCAGGAACAGAGCTTTGTGAAGGCTGTGTTATTTCTCATCATTCCTCTCAGTCACATGACCAACACACAGAGCTCTGACTGGAGGAGACAGCTCAGGGTTTTACTGCTCTGCTTCATGGCGCTGTTGAGCACAGATAGTGAGTAGATGAGTCCCAGACCAGCTCCTTGAACTCTTGACAAGAATCTGATGCAAACCTCATATTTCACCACAGCAAATTTATTTGAATGTCTTATCATACTTTCCTCTTAACATGCTGACAGAAGTGAGGAGAAAGGACACCAGAAGCTACACTGGCTAATTTGATTGGCCTAATTGAAAAGTTCATGGAAGAGACTCACACGTCTTTTAATACCCTACAATCAATGGTTATCTCGTGGTCGCCTGGCAGATGTTAAAAACGTAGATTGGAGATCCACAATTCTGGAGAGCCTTTGTGCCAAACTGGCTAAGAGTAATGTTAACATATGTGAAAGGCTAAATGACCTGGAATCTCACAGACTCCAGCAAAACCTACATGTGATAGGCATCCTGGAGGGAACAGAAGGACCACAGACTTCTTCAGCGAGACTCTGGGGATGTCCGCCCAGCCAAACCTCCTGCCCATCTGTGATCGGGTTTATTGAAGCCTCGGACACAAACCAACGGACCCCAAGCCACCTCCACGGCCTATTATTAGGCGAGGAATACTGCGACTATCATGGGAGCAGGGTGCACATGTTTCAGGACTGGCCCCAGAAGTTGCCCACCGGAGGGCTGCTTTCAGACATGTCAAAGCTAAGATGCAGGATGCTACTTGTTTACGGTACGGCCTGCTCCCTGCTGCAGTGCTACAGGCGACCGCCGAGGTGAGCAAGAAGTCTTTGACAGAAATACAAAAAGGTAAAAAGAGCTCTCATTAATATTAATGACAACATGCTGCTAATTCAATAAAGACGTAGTGACTTCACCTCTTAAACTCTGCAGCTCCACCAGTGGCTCCAGCTATACAAATTCATGTTGTGCAGCCAAACACAAAGAAAAACCCACAGAAACTGATTTAAGATTCCACTCAAGTTTCCAAAGATGCCAAATATGTCAGGATGAACTTTGGGGAAATGGGAACAAAAGACATCTACAATATTTCTTAAAATCAAAGCTTCTTCAGTTTAAACTATTATACTATAACAGTTCTTTCTAGATTGGTAGCGTTCTCCTGTCCTTCTGGCCTATGGGTAATAAGCAGCTACAAGTTCTTCTTCAACAATCTGCTTTAATCGACACCAAGATGTATGACAGTACACACACACACACGTGTCGTAGCACGTTTTACACCTCTCCTCTTTCGCACTTCCCTGTCTCACCCTGGAAACATGCAGGTGGGAATCCTCTGCTCTGAATTAACAAATGATAAGGAAACAGTTACTGTGTGTACTAATAAACTCAATTGTGCAAGTCCAGAAATACCATATATCCGAGTTTCATATCAAATTAAGAAACCAAAATCTATAATGAGTACAGTAACTAAGATTACAATACTTTAACAGCTGATCTCTGACAAACTGCTGCCCCTCAATCTGAATAAAGAATAAATGATGGAGATAAAAATCCATTTCTAATCCAATCAGATGTGTTCAGGTTTTAAATGTGGAGCTCAACATTACTATGTCCTAATCAATGAGCTTTTCCCTAAAATGAGTAGAGGGACTTTGTCATTGTGTCATTGTGGATCATCATAATGTCAGCCTTCTACAGACATCATCCAAATGTCAGCACAACATTCATACCATTGTTCTACCAGACTGTCCTGGTCCCAACATACTCTAAAACATAAACTGAGGAATGGAATAACATTCCACCTTCCCACATCTGCCTTTAATACAGAATTAATTTGAACAAATTGGTACTGAATGAGTTTGCCAGGTCTTTTGGTAAATATACACCTAAATCTTTAATAGAAACTTCGTCCCACTTTAACCGGCATTTCTTAGTGATATGCCTATTCATAGGGGGATCGTAATTTAAGGCCAGAACTTTTGTATTCGACACATAAAATTTAGAACCATACAACATGAGTAATTTATACTTTTGCGTCAAATCGATGGCGTAGGTGACGGCGTAGGCTATGGGGCTACGCAGAGGATACGCCGTCGCCTGACGTGCACCTCCTCAAAAATGCAACTACACGTCAAGTCGATGCGGACCGTAAGCTCTGTCACTGGTCGGCTGGGTAGCCTCGCAATGCCTCCGAGCGACCGGAAGTACCCCGTGCTTTGAAGGAACATTTGAATCAATATATTTGACCTTCATAACCCGAGCGAAATGACTCGTTTCGCTATCAGAATGTGATCCATTCGGTCGGTAACATTTGAAAAGGCTACACCAGCAGCACATTTACAATTTTACCCCCATTTACGTTAACGGAGCGCTAAACCGGAAGTTAGCCTACTCGGCCGGCAAAAGTCTTATCGGTGTAGATGTGTGGATATAATCAAAGTTTCATATTATTATGTTGCATTTCATACAAGCAATTGTTCACAGTTTACACACGTTTTCAGGACGTTTCAGGAAGAGATCTACCAGGGACGCGAGGACTGCACGTAGCACTCTGTAGCAATCCTAATACAGTCTGTTTATAACTCTAGTGTATTGTGCTCTCTGGTAGGACAACATGGAACTACACGTCTAAACAACACGTGGTTTTAGTAGCCCTTGGTTTCATATCGGTTACGTAAGGATTTGGTATATATTCTGGTCTTTGGCTAACAAGAGCGGAGAAACAGCACACCCCTTCCTGCAGCCCTGAAAATGGAGCAGAAAGGTTCCCATTTACTTTAAATCTGGCTGTTGGATTATTATATGTTTGAATTATTTTTACAAAAGCCAAATCTAGACAGAACTTTATATAAAAAATTCCAGCTAACTGGATCAAAAGCTTTTTGAGCATCTAAGCTAATCAGGGCTGATTCTATCCAACTACCTGTGGCATGTTTAATTAAATATAATGTTCTCCTAATATTATCCTGCGTTTGTCTCTGCTTAATAAAGCCAGCTTGATCAAGGTGGATAAGATCTAGTAAACATTTTTAAAGCCTTCTTGCCATAACAGATGTGAACAGTTGATAGTCTACATTCAAAACATTAATAGGTCTCAAATTGTCACATTCTTGTCGTTTTTTTCCCACCTTAGGAATAAAGGAATATAATTACTTCTCGCCATGAAGGAGGCATTTCTTGTTCTTTTAAGTACCCAATTGTAGACCCTGGCTAACAGAGGAGCCAACTTAACCCTTAGCACCTTATACCATTCCGGTCTTCATCCTTAAAATGATTTTAATTAACAAACACGCTGTGAACTACACTGTATATTTACTACCAGACTGAAGCATATCGCTCATCTTTCCTCTGTTCTGCTGCTTTCACCGTCACCTACTGCCACCTGTCACGTGGCTACTGTGCAGCACAGAGTGCAGGTTAAAATCGTTAACGTTAGTTACACATTGATTTTATTGATTATGTGTAAAGTTTAGTCTGTCCGTCTGGTCCGGTCAGAGCTGCACTTCCTCATTTCCAAGTTCCGCCTTTTCATTTCATCAACATTACGTTATCAATTAAACTCTATATAATCGATTGACATTTGTGAATCGATTCATAATCATTCAAGTGCACATCGCGATGCATCTAAAAATCAGTTATTTCCACCCCCCATAAAAGAATACTGTTTCCATGAAAGGGTGTGGTCTACAATGTTTAGGTAGTTGGTACATGTCAAAGTAACAACCATGAAATTGACGATCCAAGATTTCCCAGCAGAACATTGCCCAAAGCATTACACTGCCTCCGCCGGCTTGCCTTCTTCCCATAGTGCATCCTGGTGCCATATGTTCCCCAGGTAAGCGACGCACACACAACCGGCCAGCCACGTGATGTTAAAGGATGTACATCTGTTGGATTGGACCACACGGGCCAGTCTTCGCTCCCCACATGCATGAAGACGTTGCCAGTTCATAGGTTTTTCTTCATGGAACACTTTTGTTTTGGAGATGCTCTGACGAAGTCTTCTAGCCATCACAGTTTGACCATGGTCAAAGTCACTCAAATCCTTACGCTTGGCCCATTTTTCCTGCTTCTAAAACATCAACTCTGAGGACACAATGGTCACTTGCTGATTAATATATTCAACACACTGAAAGGTGCCATGGTAACGAGATAATCAGAGGTTTGTGAAGGTTCTCAGTCATCCAGGTCATAGTTATCCAGCGAAGGTTGAGGTTAAGGGCAACTGGACTTGGTTGAAGATATTAGAAGATGTTTCGTCCCTCCTCCAAGAGACTTCTTCAGTTTTGACTGACTGGTAGGGAAACTCTATTTAACCTGTGGGATCGTTAGCTAGGATTGTTGATATCGCTGGTTTGTTAGTGCTCCTGGCTGTGGTAATGACAGTCGTCATGGTCGTTAGAGCCACCCATGGCCAAGTCTGAATGACCATCGTTAGCATCTTCACCTGAGGACAAGAGGAAATGTTTGTTCAGTTTCCTGGAAAGTGATGAAAAGCAATGCTGTCCTTTCAACACCATCATTCTGAGATTGACTCCTGAAAGCTAAAAACTGAAAGCAAAAAGCACTTTATAGAGCAAATACTGTCAATCTAAGGTTCTTCCAGTTTTGCAGTAGAAGGCAGCTGTGTGTCACGTTAATGCCAAGTGCAGACACACAGGACTACGGGATTTGTACCCAAATGCAGAACACTCAGGCGGAGCAGGTACAGTTCTCCGTGTTTATTTAAACCAAGTGATTGCAACTTACACCACAGATGAGGTGGACAGTCTGGGGAATAAACAAATCCAAAAAACAGGTACAGACAGAAATATAGAACACAACAGAACAAATCAGTTAATAGGCAGAGACACTCAACAACATGAGCAGATGATGATTCACATGGTTCCACTTCCAGCATCGATTGTTGTCAGACTATATTTAATATTGAATACATTTCCTTCAAGCGTCTGATGTTTTTCCCCACATTTGTTATAATATCTGACCACACATTATTTTCAATATCAGTTGCATGTTTACTTGAAACGTTGTGCAAAGTTCCCCAATGGGCTCTGAGGTATTTTTTCTCCCATTTGGAGAAAATGCAGTGCGTTTTGTACACAACGGAGTGTTCAAGGCACCATGATTTCCAACAATTTCAAAAGAAAACAGGACACAACTCAACAACCCAAAACTGGAAAGCAGAAAACAAATGAACAGAGGTTTCTTTTCCACGAAGTGAAAAGCTGCAGATTGAGTCTTTAGCTGTTTGACGTCAGACGAATGTGACACTATCTCTATTATACTAACACTGATGCATATACTACTTTACATCAGGTTGGTACTAACTAACATCAGCTGTGCGAGATCCAGTACAGATTGAACCATCTGGTCAGCAGTGAAAGTTTCTCTAGCAGGAAGAGACTCTCCCTCTGACAGAGAGCACAGAGACGGTGAGGAAACATATGACCAGAACCCCAATCCAGGATAAAGAGGTTCAGTGAATAGGTGGATCAGTGTGTCAGTGGAGACTCTGTAGAAGGACAGAGTGCCAGCAGGACAGTCCACATACACTGCTACTCTGTCAGAGGAGGAAGATGTTCTTCTGTCATTGTGCCAGACAGAGTAACCAACATCATCAGAGCAGCTCAGACTCCAGGACTGATCATTCCCTCCAAACACAAAGGCTGTGTTGTCGCCTCTCCTTCCAATTCCCCTGTAAATAACTGATATTTCAACTCCTCCTCTCCACTCGACCTCCCAGTAACAGCGACCAGTCAGACCATCTCTACACAGCAGCTGAGGACACTGGAAGTCAAACCTGTCTGGATGATCAGGATATGACTGATCCTCTCTCATACGTGTCGCCTTCCTGTTGTTGTCAGACAGTTTGATCTTTCTGTGTGTGTTTGTGTCGAGTGCGAGTTCACAGGAATCTAATGGAGAGAACGAGACACAATAAACCTGCAGTTATTAATCCATCATCTGTTCACTGATTGACATTTGGTGATGACATCAGAGCTTTGAATGAGCGATGTCAGTGTGAAGATGGTTGAATATGTGATGCTTTCATGAATCAAATGAAAAACATGCTTACACTTCCTCAGACCTGGTCTCATCCATCGGACTCTACTAGGCTTCACCCTGAAAGGGAAGAGGGGTGTCAAACCGGCACATCCTCTTTCAGCATCAAACATGAACGTTACATCACACTCATACAGAGGTTTGTTATTCTCTACACTCATGGATGGGCAAAGATACAAAATGTACTGTATTTAAAAGTAAGATACGAAACACCCCAATTTAGTGTATCAAAACATAAATACTAAGGTACAATGAAATCACTGTGCAAACCTTCTATCTATCTGTCTTTTTCTGATTTGACACCCACTTTATCCCCTGGATCCACGTCTGTTTAGAGACATACTAGCAGGACAAGGCAGCTAACTTGACATTGCAGGAACCTTGACCATATGTCAAAGACAGATTAAACCTCCCAAAAAGAAAAGCCCACCTAGCCTGATATGAGTTTAGCTGTTTGGCAGACTGAATATATGAGATTCTTATGATCAATCCACACAACGAAGAAATGGCCAGTACCCTCCAACCAGTGGTGCAATTTCTCTAGGGTCAGTTTCTCTAGGTTTCAGTTTAACATACAGCTTCTTCATTTTCCAGCAAGAGTTGAAGTATCTGGCATACATGTTGTTCATGCTCAGGGAGAGATTTATTACTTATTATTCCAAAAAGAGACTCCACTTGGACTTGCATAAAATGACTTGTGAAGATCTCTGACCTGCACACACTAAACAGTATTAAAAATAACTTGTACTTTGAGTAGTTTATTGACCTAAGTATTATATTTTACTTGAGTAGGGTTGTGAAATGGTTATTTTCAATTTTACTCAAGTATTTTTGGAAATTGTATATTATAATAAAGTAGTAACAATCAACAGCTGTCTTAGAGATATTTACTAAAAATACATGTAATAGAGTAAGTAACTCAGCTCAAGGGCAGATCCCTGTGAGACAAAACAATCTCTTAGAATGCAAATGCACTTCAAATAAAACAAATGGTACTCTTCTGAGAAAGGTTACAGGAAATCTTAACAGCATCTGAGGTATTACAATACCTAACTGGTGATGATTAATTTGTTATTACTGAATAATTATTTCTTACCAAGATTTTCTTTACTCTGACCACCACTGACTGTACTTCCTCTTTTCAGTCAACATTCTGCAGGAAGCATTATACTGTTACACTCGCTCTTAGATGTCACCTGGTGGTTGTTGGTGAACATAACAACTCCGGAGAGTTGAATTAAAAAGTAAATGGACTGTGATATATGGAAGTAAAAGTGAACAATACAAAGTGGATTGTGATCCAGTATTATTTGACTTTGACATCATCATTTATATGCACTTAAATCGCTCTCATACACAGAAGTTTGTTTTCTCTATAAATACAACAAACAAGCTTCAGCTCCTCACTCTGTATACATGACATCTGCTGCATATGTTCTTCTGATGTAATGATCATTATCTCTATCGTCTGTATGTGAAATAAACAACAAAATAATAATTCCTTTCATTTCGGGGAAAGATTTTTATTGGCCAACGGCTATGACTCATTATCTTCCATTATTAAACAACTGTTGATCTGTTTATTTATGAACATATAAATAGTTAGTTTATATTTATTTCCGTTCTCATTTCCTGATCTAAATATGAGATAGATCTGTGTAAACGGTAAGATGAAAAGATAAACTTGTGTTTCTGTTGGTCTTTCCATAACAATCTTTCACCTACTGACAAGTTGTTTCCTCTCAGCCCTGGAACATTTGTGTGTGATGATTCCAGCTGATGAGCAGCTCTAGTCTGAAGTCTATGTGCTACTATTTTGTAACAGTGTGATGAGTCAGTGTTTATCAGCTTAGAGATCCAGGCCCACAGTCTTCCTCCTCTCCATACCTGAGAGTGTTCAGTATCCAGTGTGGAAGTTCCAGCACAGCAGACAGCAGCTTCATTCCTGAATCCTGCAGGTTATTACTCAGGTCTAGGTCTCTCAGACTAGAGGACTGGGAGCTGAGGAGGTTACAGCTGCTCAGTCTGAAGAGACACTCAACAAGAATTAAAATGTCATTCTGATATAGATTTAATCTTGACTAAAGTGCAATCATAAAGAACAATGATCTAAGCTTACACTTAAACTCACAGGGAACTGCTGGACCTGTATTTTTATCAGTTAATCAAATTTAAACACTTTAAAGTTGTTTATTGAAGCTGAAGATCAACTTTATCTAGATGGTAACTGGTAAGGGGCTACCAACTTTGGTTATATATTATTTCGTCCCTACACTAGCTAAAATCCTTGCTTGTTCTACTCCAAACAAGATGAAAATTAGAAAGTTGCAGTGAAACTTCTCTGTATCTGAAGAAGTTCATCTGTGAGCTGAATAAAATAAAATCTTGTGGACAAAGCTTTTTTACTCTATGAGGGCTTTTCCAGGGGCTCAACAGAGACTAAACCTGCATTTTGACTGAAGGAACAGTGAAATACACTGAAACAAAATTATAAATGCAACACTTTTGTTTTTGCCCCCATTCATCATGAGCTGAACTCAAAGATATAAGACTTTCTCAAAGTACACAAAAGGCCTATTTCTCTCAAATATTGTTCACAAATCTGTCAATATCTGTGTTAGTGAGCTCTTCTCCTTTGCCGAGATAATCCATCCACCTCACAGGCATATCAAGATGTTGATCAGACAGCATGGGTATTGCCCAGGCGTGCCTTAGGCTGGCCACAATAAAAGACCACTCCAAAATGTGCAGTTCCATCACCACTGCCAGCAGCAACTGAAGAGTGTCCTCCGAGTATTTCTTCACATAAGATACATCCAGATCTTTTTCTGATGACAGTTAGATGAAGACCAGAGCTGACCTCTGAGCAGGGGAGAGTTCATCTGTGGAGAGACTTCCTGAACTCAGGGACTGTTGGATCTCCTCCACTAGAGAATGTTCATTCAGAGAGTTGATGCTTTTCTCTGCAAGATCTCTCTGAGAGATTTTCCTGCAACTTCATCTTGATGTACTCGACTGTTATCAGGTTGGTCTGTGAGCTGCTTTCTGTCTGTGTCAGCAGGCCTTAAAGGTTAGTCTTATTGGTCTGCAATAAAAGTCCCAGGAGGAAGTGGAGAAACAACTCCAGGTGTCCATTTGGCCTCTGTAAAGCTTGATTTATACTCCTGCGTAGGGTCTACGCACGTAGCCACGCCGTAGGCTACGCACATAGCCAGGCAATTATACTTGTGCGTTGGATGTGTCTGACATATTGCAATTACACCCCCAAACGCTAGTCGGCAGTAGCGCTACAGCGTCCACTGTGCTCACTTTTGCTGGTCGAGCAGGCTAACTTCCAGTTTAGCGCTCCGCTAACGTGACTGGGGGTAAAATTATATACATGCAGCTGGTATAGCCTTTTCAAATGTTACCAACCGAATGGATCACATTCTAACGGCGAAACGAGTTATTTCGCTTGGGTTGCGATGGTCAAATAAATTGATCCACCGTGTCACAGCCGCTGTTTTGGCCGCTAGTAAAAGTTACTACAAAGCACAAGACACTTCTGGTCGGCTTGGAGGCATTGCAAGACTACCCAGCCAGACCAATCACAGTGCTTACGGTCCGCGTCGACTAGACGTGTAGTTACATTTTCGAGGAGGTGAACGTCAGGCAACAGCGTAGCTTCTGTGTAGTCCCATAGTCTACATCACCTATGACACCTACAGTTTGGCCTGAACCACCAGGAAGTGGATGTACATCTCAGTCAGGGTCTTGGGCAGAAGACTGGAATGTTGCACATGATGTGGAGGCTTCGTGATGTCTTGATGTGGGAGATGATTCTGCTGGCCTGCTCCTCATCTCTGAATCTCTTCCTGAAGTACTCCTCCTTCTGTGGGTCAGTAACCCTCTGATCTCTGTCACTATGTCAACACACTCAGGAGGGATCCGATTGGCTGCTGCAGGTCGTGTGGTTATCCAGCAGCAAATCCACTGAGGTGGACTCTGTAACATCAGTAAATTGACACTCATCCAAACAGTCAAAGATGAAACTCAACCTGGAACTCTTCATTGCTGCAGATTCCAGTTCCACCAAACTGTATTTTTTCCTCTTTCAGTATGCTGACAAACTGCAGAATGATTTCCTGAATGAAGATGCAACAAAGAAGATAAATAAGTGAAGGTAAATATTTCAACATTTCCTCTGAAGAACAAGTACAAACTTCATTTCCAGAAAAGTTAGAATAATTTCAAAAATGCTATAAAAACTAAAATCTGGAATTTGTTAATTCACATCAACCTTTATTTAACTGACAAAAGTACAAAGAAAAGATTTTCAAATGTTTTACTTACCAGCGTAATTGGATCTCTTATTTCTGCAACACAGAGGCATGACATTGTGTTACATCACCTTTCCTTTTAATAACACTTTCTAAATTGTGTGGGAAGTCAAGATTCTATTTGTGCCCGTTTCAATTGGAATTTTGTCCATTCTTGCTTAATACAAAATTTCAGCTGCTCAACAGTCTGCAGTCACTGTTGTCTATGCAGAATGAGGCCTAGCATTGCTCTGCTGAATTAAGCATGGATGTCCCGGGAAGAAACGTTGCCTTGATGGCAAAATATGTCCCTCTAAAATCCCATTACATGCTTTGCGTCAATGGTACCACACACATGCAACTCACCCATGCCGTGGGAATCGATGCACCCTTTTGCACCTTTCACTGATAACAATCTGGATGGTCTTTCTCATGTTTGTCATAGAAAAGTCGATGTCCATTTTTAGTGTTTCAGGTTGGATTTGTGGATGCAGCGAATAAGTTAAGTGACAATGGTTTTCCGAAGTGCACCAGAGTCCATGTGACTATATTATCACAGGGGCATGACAGTTTCTTAGGCTACAAAAGTGGTTTCCGGCCATGCCTTTTATGCACTGTGATGTGTCCAAATTCCCTAAATATTTTCACAATATTAAGTACTGTTGATTTTGGGGGGGGGGGGTTAACCTGTTCTGCCCAGCACCCTGGTGTACAGTATGAGGAGCTGGATCCCATGTTGTGCCAGACAGAATTTGCTGAGTTTTAATATACTCCTTTGTCTTCTTTATTATTTATTTAATCACATCAACACCACAGAGAAAGCAAAGACACCTGCAAGAGAATGGGGAGGGGGGGCAACAGGAGACATCCAGCCGAACAACAGCAATAAACAGCAGACATAAGGAAACAACTGAAGGATAATGAATAAGAGAAATAGTCAGGCAAAATAAATAAAAAACACAGTGCAGCAATGGTTAAATAAATTACTTATTGATATGACTAAGGGGTGGCTAGCTGGGGAGGCTGCGCCCTTGTCCGGGGTCTGGGGTTTGAGTTTGAGTAACAGCAACATGAAATCTGCTGAACATCAGAGTCACATCCTTTAAATCAGCAAGTCATTTGTTTTCCAATAGCAGCAGGAAACAGTCAGTCACTTTGACTCTCCCTCCTACAGAGAACACAGAGACACTGAGGAACCAGACCTGTCAGACCAGAACCTGAACCCAGGATAAACCGGTTCAGTGAATGTGGTGTTGAAGGTGTGAAGGTGGATCAATGTGTCAGAGGAGACTCTGAAGAAGGACAGAGTGCCAGCAGGACAGTCCACATACACTGCTACTCTGTTATAGCCAGAGAAGGAGGAGGTGGTAGTGGTGGTGGTGATGTATGTTGCTTTATTACAGTGCCAGACAGAGTAACCAATAGTATCAGAGCAGACCAGACTCCAGGACACATCATTCCTTCCAAACAAACATTCATATCCATTTCCAGTCCTACTGATTCCTCTGTAAGTCACTGCTATATGTACTCTTCCTCTCCACTCAACCTCCCAGTAACAGCGACCAATCAGACCATTTCTACACAACAGCTGAGGCCAATAGTCAAACCTGTCCGGATGATCAGGATATGGCTGATCCACTAGCTCATGTGTCGCCTTTCTGTTGTTGTCAGACAGTTTGATCCCTCTGTGTACTGTGTTTGTGTCAAGTGTGAGTTCACAGGAATCTGATGGAGAGAATGAGACACAATACAGCTGCAGTTATTAATCCATTATCTGTCCAGTGACACATACTGATGACATCAGATTTGAATGAGTGATGTCACAGTCTGTTGATAGTTGAATGTGTGCTGCTTTGTTTTCATGAATCAAATGAAAAACACACTTACACTTCCTCAGACCTGGTCTCAACCATCCGACACCACCCGGCTCCACCCTGAAAGAAGGAGGGGGGTCAGACCAGCACATCCACTTCAGGATCAAACATGGACATTACATCGCTCTCATCCACAGAGGTTTTTTATTCTCCACAAATACGCTTACATGTTCACATTTAGCACCT